TTTGTCTATGCTACTGTGCAGTATTTGGGTATCTGTGCCAAATTGAAAAAGATGAGCTCTGGAATTAGTCATAGTCCAACTATGAAGCATAGATTCCTCTATAGGCTACTTTATCAACCCGAGGAAGTAATTAATACAATCCTGCTGTCCAAAAGAGGCGAGGGGTTTTTTGTTTTGGTTTGGTTTTTTTTTTTTTTAAATTGTGTGGTTATTTTTTTGAGTATATTTAGCAGATTGTGTCCATAATTGAAGATTTGACTGGGATTGCAGCTGTCCAGTTGCAAAAGTGTTTGTATAAAAAAAAAAAACCTCTACCAAATGATGAACTCAAACTGGAAGTTGTACAAAATGTGGTCAGGAAAACCAATTTAACTGGGCAAGAGCGGTGTGGGGGAAATTCAAAACTCTAGGAAGACAATACACAATGGAAAGATTTGCAAGTCCTACCTAGAAAACTTCTTGGGATTTCAGGGTAGTGAAAACTTATTTTCAGATGGATGGTTTCTGAGATGTGTTCAGAATAAGGAGAGAAGAGAAAGAAGTTATTTTAAGAGGTGTTTTTCTGCCGGGAGCATGCATTTGGATGTGTTGCAGACTCACATCTGAGTGACAACTTCAATGGGCAGTGCACCATGTTATGCATGTGCAAGTGAATGTTGAAATGCATAGAATTGTTCTGATTTTTTTAAAATTAATTTTCAAATTATTTTTTTACTACTCTGTCTACTTTGATCAGGGCTTAAGTAGCTTAAGCTTCAAGCAGTTAAGACTGCTTGAAATGTGTTAAAGCAGTAATTTTCTAGCTTAGCATTAGATAGATGCTTTTAATGGAAATTAATTTATATTAAAAACAAATAATGGTTTTGTTCAATTTTAGAATAACAGAAATTTAGCTGTCTTTTGGAAGTATCTGTCAGTAACAATTATTTCATCATTTCTGTATAGCACTAATTTTTTGTGTGTATAGTATGACATAACTTGACTTTGCTACCTCCTTCCTGACTGTTCTCTAAAGACTATGTTAGTTTTCATCAGTGTTAATCTGTAAATTAATTACAGAACCACGACATCATGGGTAAATGTGTGCTCTGTGAGCAAGGCCAGCAGAGAAATACAGAATAAGGTGGCAAGATTAATCTGTTCTAGGCGCTGTTATTTCCCTGATGTGCAGCACAAATGACTTCTGTTAAAAGTTAACAGTTAAAAGATATCCCTGTCCTTTTGATACAGTTACATAGGGTTTATAAAGTAGGACACGTACCATTCTCTTACGTCTGTTCTGCTTTATATATATTTATATAAAATGCTTTTCCATCTTCAGTTAATGAAAGAATCTGGTCTCCATTTCTCTGTTTTTGTGATGGTCTGAATTGGGCCATCACTTGGTCTGAGATGCAAGGAAATGTTTTTGAAAGCAGCTTCTGTTTCTTTCTGTTCCTCCCTCTCCTGCTCCTCTGTATGAAGTCTTGTGCTGCTTGATCCGACATTTAATCCCTTCTTCCTTCTCCTGCCTTTTGCTATCCTTTTAGCAGTTTTCAAAGTGTGATGTTGCCCTGTTTCTCTTGTGAGACTGTAGTTGTCTGTCACTTTACTCTTGTTTGTCTTTTTCTGTGATACCACAATGTGAAAGGTGAAGAGAGGGGAGCTGCACATCAAACCGTAACTCTTGAAAAGCAAATACTTGGTTTGGTGCAGTATGAACAATGTCATGTTCAGGATGACTCTGAAAAGTTCTTGAGCTTTTCAAAATCACAGGAAAGCTATTTTGTTGACATGATCAGGTTTTGTTGGGCAGTTGGGACTTATATTTCTGTAGATAATTCTCTTTTCTGTTACAACTTTCAAAGTTGTTAGACGCAGAACCTGATTTATCTGGGGCAATGGAGAAGACTGCATACTTGGAAAGAGTGATGTGAAGGCTTGCAAGAACTGGTTATTTTTTGTCAATATTACTGCTTGAGTTGTACTAGAAACATTGCGTGCTTTTACAGGCAGCTGAAGCATCACCACAACTACGGAAAACAGAAGGTACAAGGCCAATGATAATGTTCTGTTTTCCTGAGACTACACATAAAGTAGATCATGGCTGGCTAGAAGGTCATGTTAACACTACTGCTGTAGCTGTGATGGCAAGGATGTGGAAGAATGCTGCCTCTGCATACGTGCATTCGCAGAAGTTGCTGCTTTTGCGTGTCATTGTGCTCATAAAGGTGTATTCGGTACTCGAATGGTTTGTTTCCGTCCCTGGGGTAGCTTTATGGCAACGCAAAGCACATTCTGTGGCGCTTACAGTCATTCTGGGAGTGCTTTGCTGGTCTAACATGCAGAGGTTTCTGGGCTGAAGTACTCATAGTGTTTATGTCACTTCATAGATTCTGTTCTAATAGACTCAGAGGGACTTTTTTCTCCAAAACCCTTGATCTTGATAGGGGAAGGAAAGCTGATTTTTCTTGCCTGTATTTTTTTTTTACTGTTGTTCGTTCTTTTGTTAACTTTAGAGCTGTAGTGCAGTAAGCACAATGATGACTACCAAGGTAGTAATGGATAAAAGGTGGCCTGATAACAAAGGCTGAAATAAGTGATTTTTACTTGAACAATAAAAGGACAATGAAATCATAATGGAAATGGCACAGGCTTAGAATGGACATTGCTGCATTTAAAGCCTAGACTTGTTTGCTATACCCAAAGAGATTACTGAAAGCTTGTTAGTTGGATGGAGAGAAGCACTAGCACTTGGGTGAAGCTACTGTTTCATTTTGTCAGGGGCATGACATCTTTTCTGTCTAGTGCTCTGCTTTTTCTCCTCAGTATGTAGCAGATATTCCTAAAATAGATAAGGAAAACAGAGAATGAGTGAAATGAAAATTTGCTATGAAATGTGTGAGTCTGTCTTTTTCCTTTCTTTTTTTTTTACTGTATGTTTTCCAATTCTGCTGTTTTTACCTGCAATTAAGTGCATCAC